CAGGTAGATGATGTCAACTGCTCTGCTGCTGTCCATCATTTCCGTAGCCCCATCATAGAAGGCTACAAATTGATCAGGCAGGATTTCCCCTTAGTGAAACCATGCTGGCTGTCACCAACCACCTCGTTGTTTTTCATGTGCCTTAGCATTCTTCCCAGGAGAATTTGCTTCAAGATTTTTTCCAGGCACAGAGGTGAGACTGACTGGTCTATAGTTCCCTGGGTCTTCCACCTTCCCCTTCTTGAAAATGGGGGTTATATTTCCCTTCTTCCAGTCATCCGGAACTTCACCTGCCTGCCGTGACTTTTCAAATATGATGCACAGTGGCTTAGCACCTTAATTCGCCAGCTCCTTCAGGACCTGTGGATGGATTTCATCAGGTCCCATGGACTTGTGCACGTTCAGGTTCTTAAGGTCATCTCGAACCTGATCCTCTCCTACAGTGGGCCTAAGGTCTTCATTCTCACAGTCCCTGCAGCTGCCTTTCAAGATTTGGGTGGTGTGGTCAGAGCATTTGGCAGTGAAGACAGAGGCAAAGAAGTCATTAAGAACTTCAGCCTTCTCCAAATCCTGGTAACTTCTGGAGAAGGCCCATGTCGTCCCTAGTCTGTCTTTTATTTGCTACGTACCTATAGAAGCCTTTCCTGTTATCTTTCATGTCTCTTGCGAGATTTAATTCTAACTGGGCCTTAGCTTTTCTGACCTGGTCCCTAGCTTCCCAGACAACTTTCCTGTATTCTTCTCAGGATGCCTGTCCTTGCTTCCACTTTTTTTAAGCTTGTTTTTTCCCCCTAAGTTTCCTCAGCGGCTCCTGGCCCTACTGCTGCATTTTCTTCTAGTCGGGATGCAACACTGCTGAGCTTGTAGCAGGTGGTCCTTCAATATCAACCAGCAGTCTTGGGCCCCCCTGCCCTCTAGGACTATATCACATGGAACCTTACTAAGCAGGTTCCTGAAGAGGCCAAAGTCTGCTCTCTTGAAGTCCAGGGCAGTCAGCTTGTTGGACGCTTTTCTCACTGTTCTGAGGAACTCAAACTCGACCATCTCGTGGTCACTACAGCCAAGGCTGCCCTGGAGTGTCACTTTCCCAACCAACCCCTCCCTGTTGGTGAGCACGAGGTCAACCATGGCACCTCTTCTTGTTGGCTCTTCTATTACTTGCAAGAGGAAGTTGTCTGCCACACAATTGAGGAACCTCTTGGATTGCTTGTGCCGGGCTGTACCGTCTCTCCAGCAGGTGTCAGGATGGTTGAAGTCCCCCATGAGGACAAGGACCTGCGAACGTGGGGCTGTTCTATCTGTCCGTAGAGCGCTTCTCCATTAAAATATGTTTGAAGTTCTAGTTAAAGACGTTTGGCATATGTTGCTTATAATACATTAATTTGTGTTTATAAAGTGAGAGTTCAGAAATATTTTTATTACTTTTTGATCTGTTCTGATTATTCTAGTGAGGTGATTGCAGTACCATCTTTCATGGATGTGTAAGAGGATGAGTCCACTAGGAAGAAGTAAATGAAGAAAACCAATACAATACTGAACTAAACTGTAATTGAAAGCCCTGAGTTGTTTAGGTAGTAGTGTAAAAAGCAGGACTGAGTGAGTTATTTGGGTAAATTACTCTTACTGTTGTGTTCTTGTGCAGGCTGCTGCATTGCTGAAGTCCATCTCCAGTTCACACAGTCTTCCAGACCATGTGCTCCATGCTTTGAGACCAGGAGGACCTTGGTGTTCTGAAATGAAGATGGAGGCAGTGGGAAAAGCAGAAGAACTTGTTGATTCAGAAGTTCCACCGAAGACTTCTGAAAAGCAGGAGAATGCTCCAGATGAAGACGGACCTATAGAACTCGAGACACAAACTCAGAAAGACAACGTGCCCGCTGCAGCAGACTCTGCAGTGCTCTCCTCAATGCCTTGCTTACTGATGGAACTGAGACGAGACTCCTCAGAGTCTCAGCTGGCATCTACAGAGAGCGATAAGCCAACGGGTGGTCGAGTTTATGAGAGTGACTCTTCTAATCACTGCATGCTTTCCCCTTCTTCCAGTGGGCATTTGGCTGACTCAGATACATTATCTTCTACAGAAGAGAATGAGCCCTGTCAGGCTGAAGCTGTTGTAGAGGGAGACTCTTCTGCAGCATCTGGGGCTACAGTTGGGAGGAAATCCAGGCGATCCAGGTCCGAAAGTGAAACTTCAACAATGGCTGCCAAGAAAAACCGACAGTCTAGTGATAAGCAGAATGGTCGAGTTACCAAGGTAAAAGGTCATCGAAGCCAAAAGCACAAAGAAAGAATTCGGCTCTTGAGACAGAAACGGGAAGCAGCTGCTCGCAAGAAGTACAACCTGCTGCAGGACAGCAGTACCAGTGATAGTGACCTGACGTGTGACTCAAGCACAAGCTCATCAGAGGATGATGAAGAGGTTTCAGGAAGCAGCAAGACAATCACTGCAGAGATACCAGGTAGAGGATGTTTTTTAAACTGAACTGTAACGCATCTGCCATCGTTTCTCAGCTGTCATGCTAAGTTAGATGAGTGACACTTGAGAAAAACCAGAACTGCAGCTCTGTGTAAATTTGAAGACTGCAGTATATTAACAAGACATGAGCAAATTATAAAATCTGTTCGGAGGTTTCAGTGCACTTTTGCACTCCATCAAAGAATAGTAATGGTAAATTGGAGGAAAGACTATCTTTGAATTCTGGAATTTTCAGATCTTTTCCTTTGTAAGCCTCTATGGACTCTTATCAGTGCTGTCAAATCCCATTAGATGATGATAATCTAGTAAATACATTCTTAAGATAAGTGGCCAGCTTTGCTTTAATATATTAAGACCACAGCTCAGCAGCTGTATTAGAAATAACATGGCAAACCTCTTGCTGTGTCACAATAAGGCCCTGTTCACTGTTGCATTTGCCATTGCTTTCAGCTCTACATTTTAGTGCATGATAAACCTACTTACCCTTACTTAAAATTCTTGCAGATCACAGCTGGTCACCTATTTTAGGAGATAAACATGAATTTGTTTATGCAGGTACACAAGCTATATAGGATCATGGAATAGTTAGGGTTGGAAGGGACCTTAAGATCATCTAGTTCCAACCCCCCTTCCATGAGCAGGGACACCACACACCCAAATTTTTTAACATTTGAGACAAAGCTATTACTGTTTTCCTTTGACATAGGATCTTTAACGTCTATAGAAAGTTCTGTTTCTGACATATCCGTTTTAAGACTGGAGGCAGCAAGTTACAGGGCCTTCTCATGACTTTGTTAGCAAAAGAAAGATGAATCCTTTTTTCTTTCCTGAGTCTGTTACTAGCTCAAGTGCCATGGACAGGAGCTTGTGTGAATTATTCTTGCAGCATATTATATCATAGAACCATCATCATATGGCAATCAAAAATAAAATCACATAAAAAGAAACTTTTTGGCTTGCCAATTTTTACTGGGTTACATGCCTTTTTGCCTCTTGTGCTAGAAGTTTTGGGATTTTTTTGAGGTAAATATCAGTTTACATAGGGCAAGAACATTTAAAGGAAAACTGCAGTAATTACTCGTAAATTGCCGAACGGATGTTTGCTAGATGAATTATTTAAAATATTTGCAGCAGATTTTACAGATAACTGCATTTTAACTGACTTGTTTGTGGTGTATGGTTCTGGTGCCATGAGAAGTGGCATTTTTCCCACATACTGCTAGGAAGCAGGTTGCACAAAGGAAGTGAATGTTTATTATTAGAAAGTCTGGGAAAGGCATACTCCTCCTATAATTATTGTGTAGTAAACTTCTAATAGAGATCTAAATTGGTGAAAATAATTTTAGTAGTTTAACTTACAGCTTTCTTAGTTTTGTGCCTTTTTATTTACTATATTTACTCTTTGCTGGATAATGAAAGCCTGGTTTGAAGCCTGTCAAACAAGACTTATTTCACTGAGTTTTGGGACAGGTTCTTCCCCAGCCCTCAAAAAACTCAAACCATACACAGTAAGTCCCCCAGGTTATATTATTTTTTTAAGCTATAGAAGTACCTTGTGACCTGGAAAGGCACCACATGGTATTTTCAGATCTACTTACATTTTTGACTTCTATTGCATGGACCCAAAACCAGTGTAGGGTGCTTTTTCAGTGTCACTAAGGCTCTTTTGTGTTTAGAGCTCTTGATCTTAACTGTGAGATGCTTTCAGTGAAAAAATCCCATTGCAGTGCACTAACAAACTTGTTTATTCAGTGATGATGACACCAAGGCCCCAGTTTACCTGCAAAGCAAGATGTGGGAGTGCTTCATACCACACTACCTTTAAGACATTAAAACTTCTGAGCAGTCATTTTGGACTTAGGGGCAACGTGTACCTGCTGCATTGTGGTTTTCTTTTAAATAGAAACGACTTTGGTTTGTGGGAAACAGCCTCCAAGTACAAGAGAAAAGTAGAGATAAGGAGAAGGTTGGCCAAAAATGCATCCTGTCCTACTTGTGGGTTAATGAAACGTTGTGGTCTTAACAGATGCAGTGGAGCTGTTAGTCTTAGAAGGACTCTCAGCTCTCGGTTGCAGTCGTAGGTTCACATGCCATCTGTGATCCCTCTTCTTGGAACTGGCAAAGAGCTTAAGTTGAATTATCTTTTTTTTTTTTTTGACTAGAAAGCCACTTCAGTGCACTTAGCATTACACTGTGACTATCCTCAAAATTTAGGG